ATGGGTAATTTAGCACGGCCAATCCACCCTAATCTGCACATCCCTGGGCACTATGGGACCATTCAGCACGGCCAATCCACCCTAACCTGCACATCCCCGGGCACTATGGGACCATTCAGCACGGCCAATCCACCCTAACCTGCACATCCCCGGGCACTATGGGGTAATTTGTCACGTCAATCCACCCTAACCTGTACATCTTTGGATCTTGGGGAGGGGGGAAGCCGGAGCACCCGGAGGAACCCCACACAGACACGGGGAAAATGTGCAAACTCCACACGGACAGTTGCTCGAGAGCGGATCCTGGGTTTTTGGCGCTGTGAGGTGGCAGTGCCAGCCCACCATGGGTACTCCACTTAGCCTGCACATGATGCCTTTCTGAGTGTAACCTGGCTTGACCCACTCGTTGGGGGGGGATTCAGCAAGTCTGATAGCATCGGTGGAGGCTTAACAACGTTAACATTTCATGTCCGGTCTGTTTGTCTTCTGCGGGTGCGGCTCTAAAACAGGGCTTTCTGTCTTTTTCGGTTGTGTGTTTTTTTTTTTGACTGTTTCAGATCTCCACCGCGCTCTCCTCTCGTTCGATTGTCTAACGCCCTGCTCGCGAGGGATTTCCTTTTGTAATTTGTTTCACATTATCCCCTTTGCTTCTCCTTCACAGGAAAGGGCCACGTTTCCACCCACCCTCCCCGTGCAACAAGTGACCGGGTTGGGGGCAACCCCGTTGGTGGACGGATGGGATCTTGCTGTGCGGGGATACGTTGTCCCCGTCGACGCGGAGGTAGCAGTGCGACACCCCCCCCCCCAACAAAACAAGAAGGTCGTGATGAACAGAACATGACCCTTTTTAGGTGCTTCTGTCAGAACACGAAGAGCCAAGGGGGCGGCCTCCGTTGGGAATTTACGCTAAAATCACGATTTGGCGACAAAATAGTTGTGTCAGGTTTAGAATTGGGGGTTGAATTTGCAAACACTTTGATTAAATTTAGACCCCACGCTGTTGCCCAGAACCTTGTGTTAGAAAGGTGATCATTTTAATGTTTTAAAGGAAAGGAAGTGACAGAAGCCTTTTGTGCTAGGCCTCATCAACAAGACTTTATTGTTCCAGGCGGCGGTTGGGAGGGTTGTTGTTGATTGAAGATGGCGGCGGCGGCCGAGCCCGAGTCCGAGCCCGAGCCGGGCCCCGGGAAGAAGCGGCGGATCCGGGGGATGCTCAAACTTTACTACGGCCTGAACGAGGGCTCCCGGGAGCCGCTCGACCCCGCGGACATCGACGGGGCCCACTTCCAGCCCGAGTTTTACCTCAATAAGGTGCGACACCCACATCCCGCCATTTCTACCCCCCCCCCCCCCCCCTCACATCCCGCCATTTCTACCCCCCCTCCCCCCCCTCACATCCC